TTCTTGAGCACCTACTCTGTGCTAGGCACTAGAGATATGGCAGGAAGAAGATACTAGTCTGAGAGTGAGGGAAACAGTCAAGATGCCAAACATTAATAATGCACAGGCAAGTGTGAGGAAAGGAAGGTTTAGGGGACGTGGAGGCACAGAGGAGCTGGTCCTGGGGTCAGGGAAGGCTTCTGAAGGAAGCAGTGTCTAAGGAGTGAGGGAAACAGTCAAGATGCCAAACATTAATAATGCACAGGCAAGAGTGAGGAAAGGAAGGTTTAGGGGATGTGGAGGCACAGAGGAGCTGGTCCTGGGGTCAGGGAAGGCTTCTGAAGGAAGCAGTGTCTAAGCTGAGATGTGAGCAAGTGGGAGATACCCAGATGATGTGTGTGTGCGGTGAGGGTGCTTGGGGAATAGAGGAGTGTGCCCCAGGCAGAGGGAACAGCACGTGCAAAGGCCCAGAGGCAGCAGAGTGAGTGCACGGCACATGCAGAGGACTGAGAGGCCATGGGTGGGAGGTGGGGAAAGATGGCGAAACACTAGAGGGAGGTGTCAGCTAGCTCTAGTCTGTGCCAGTCAGACCCCACCCACTTGGGTCCCTCATCTTGGGAGACACAGAGACAAGTGAAACATGATCAAAGTGTATGAGCAGAGCATGGTGGGGGACTTGAAACTGTCATCTGTGGAACACGGGAAGGGAGGGGGGTGAGGCGGCCACAGAAGAGAAGGTGGGGCCTCTGCAGAGACACCATCACTGTCTGCAGATACCAGCAGGACTTTCGTGAAGGCGCAGGAGCAGAGCGGGCTATGTGGCTTCCAGGAGTCACACTAATTTTTAAAAATAGCAACAATAATAACCATAGCTGCCTTCTGTTGAGCACCTTGTATGTGCCAGGCACTGTGCTAACATCTTATATGCATTCCTTGTGAATCCCTATCTCTAGAGGAGGAAACTGAGGCTCAGGGAGGCAAAGTTAGTGCAGGGGGGGGAAACCACAAGTAGACAGAGCTCAGCCAGTATAATGTAAAATCACTCGGCAGGTGGTCTGGCAGTTAATTAAGAACTGGGGCTGGAGTTAGCACAGGGTTCTCATCTGGACTCCGCCAGCCATTAGCCACTTAGGCAAGTCACTTCATATCTCATAGACTCAATTTTCTCATCTATTAAATGGGGAGAAATTAGCACTGACTTATTGCGAGGATTAAATGAGACAATGCATAAAACTTACTTTATGCTATGCTTGGCACATTCTAAATGTTCAATGAATGTTAGTTATCATCATTATTATACATCATCATTGAAAGTAATGAGATATTTTGAAAATAATGAGGTATTTTCAACACATGTTAAAAGAGGGCTGAGGTGCCCTCTCTAGTGAATTTGCAACACTAGGGTATCGGACTAAGCCTACTGGAGGTTTTCTAGGGCATCAGACAAGGGTTGGACTAAATCAGTGGTTTTAACCCCTCTCTTCTTATTCATTTTGCTACGGAAATGTGTGAGCAAAAATCTTTTGAGGAAGCCCTACATCTAGAACAGATTCAAGGGGAAATGCTCTGATTGAAGCCGGGGTGGGAGCTCCACCCCACAGGGCATGGTTTGGGAACCCGTGGTCTGGAGGCTCATGGGGGTCTGCGTGCAGGGTGTGGCTGTGGGAATGGGCGGTGTGCAGAACGACTTGGTGGGGGTGTGGGCGGGGGAGGGGCTGGCTACAGCACCCAGGCTCTGAGCTTCCCGTTCTTTCCCCCCCAGGTAGACAGGGGCCTGCGCCAGGCAATGTCTGCCCCAGGCCTGGCTGCCATGTCTGCAGTTGTCATCCACAATGACACTGTGCTCTGGACTGGGAACTTCGGGAAGAAGAATGGTTCAGACCCAGCTTCTGGGACCCCCAATGAGTACACCATGTACAGGTCAGCCAGGTGACCTCCAGGGTCCTGTGGAGGGGGCAAGGGATGGGAGGGCAAGGGGACCTAGGAGGTAGCGAGACTCAACAGAATCATGGCTGGGGGTCCAAGCTGCCAGGGACCATTATTAAGTCCTGACAGTTTTATAGAAGAGGAGGCTAAGGTCCAGAGAAGACCAGTGAGTACCCCATGTCACACCACAGGGGTAATAGGTCAGTAAGGAATCCCTTCTGAAGAGCCCTTAGCCTCTAACTAGAAAAGGCTTCCTTGTGTCCTCCCCCCCACCCCGCTGTGTGCCACAAAGAAACCATAATCAGTTCCTGGACCCTCACCCCAGGTCCTTTTCAGTTGGCAGCAGTGGCCCAGATGGAAGCAGCTTGGACATTCAGCTGCACACCCAGAGTCTCCCCTCCTGGGTGCTACCTGCAGGATTCTCAAAGCTCACAATGCAAGTAACACAGTCATTCCCAGGGATGCTGTGGGGATTACAGGGCTCCAGAGGGGATTAGCATTCATGCTACACCTGCTCTGTGCCAGGTATGGGGCCAACAATTATATTTGCTATCACTTATCAAACATTTACTACCTGCCAGGCATGTCGACAAGCACTTTATATGCACAATCTCATTCAATCCTTTTTGCAACCTGTGAAGCACACAATGAAACTGAATCTCAGAAAGGTCTAGCAACTTGCCCAAGGCCACACAGCTAGTAAGAGGCAGAGGTGCCATCTAAACCCAGGTCTGTCCCAGAATGGGAAGTGCCTGGTAAGGGGCCTGGCACAGGGTAGGTCCTCAAGAATATCCATCCCACACCAGACCCACTGCTTCTGGTATGTTCACAAGCATCCCAAAGGTAGTTCCACTGGGGCTGGTGAATTTCTGTCTGAGGCATTGAATACGGGTGAGTTCAGTGCTTTTCTAGAATACTAGAAATTTGGAGGCTGTGGGTAAAGGGTAGGAAGTGGGTTGTGGGGCCAATAGGTTGCCCTCTGTACCCTTGTGTCCCCATCATTTTCCAGGATCTCCAGCATCTCCAAGATCTTTCCAGTCCTCATGCTGTACCGCCTGTGGGAGGAGGGCACTGTAGCTTCCCTAGACGACCCTCTGGAGAGGTATGCCAGCACCTTCAGCATTAACAACCCACTGGGCATGGCATCGGCCCCCGAACAACGGGGCCTGATGGATGGGCTGTTGGAGGAGCGCCCAGCCCCAAGGCCTTCACCTGTCACCCTCCGAAGGATGGCCAGCCAGCTGTCAGGTGAGAGTCTCAGAACTTACCCAGACTGACCCAAATCATTTCAGGTGGGGAACTGGGGAACAGGTTCTCATCCAGCTGGGCTGAGCCCACTCTGCTTTGCTTTCTGAACTGGCCATACCTCCTCCTCACAGCTTGCGTGGTAGAAACATCTCAGGAGGGAAAAGCTGAGGCGAAGCCTGGAAATTTAGATCGAGTAGACAAATCAAGGTCAGTCGGCAGGTTAAAATCAAGTTGACAGGTCAAAATCTGCTTATTAGGTCAAGAGCAAGTCAACAGTCAATATTTGCAGACAATTCTACAATGAAGATGTAATCTTCCTTAATATATAAAGATCACCTATAAACCAAAACAAAGACCAAGAACCCAACAGAAAAATGGATAAAGGATAGCAACATAATTGACAGTTCGCAGAAAAGTCTCTTAATAATATTAAAATACTTAAGAGATGCACAACTTCATTTATAGCAAGATAAATGCAAATTGAAACTACACTGAGACACATTTTCCCCTATCAGATTTGCACAGATCAAAAGGATGGATGCACTGAGTTGGTGAGGTCCCCCTATACGTTAATGGTGGGAATTTCAATTGGTTCAACCTGTTTGGAGGGCAACTGGCAATATCTATCAAAATTTAAAATGTTGGGCCAGCCCGTGGCTCCCTTGGGAGAGTGTGGTGCTGACAACACCAAGGCCACGGGTTCGGATCCCTATAAAGGGATGGCCGGTTTGCTCACTTCAGAGAGCGTGGTGCTGACAACACCAAGTCAAGGGTTAAGATCCCCTTACTGGTCATCTTTGGGAAAAAAAAAAAGTATGTACTCTTTGACTCAGCAATCCCACTTCTAGGAAATTCTCTTACAGATGTACTCATATATGGTATGAGGTATGTATACAGTTACTAACTACAGCACTGCTTGTAATAGCAAAAGACTGAAGCAAACTAAATGTCCATCCATAGGGGAAGTATATACTCTTTGACTCAGCAATCCCACTTCTAGGAAATTCTCTTACAGATGTACTCATATATGGTATGAGGTATGTATACAGTTACTCACTACAGCACTGCTTGTAATAGCAAAAGACTGAAGCAAACTAAATGTCCATCCATAGGGGA